ACTAGCAAAAAAATGAAGTCAGTGATACATTTAGAATAAAAACCCACAATAATACCCAGTTGGTCATCCCTAATCATCTCAAGTGTGATTTGAATATTTGGGTCCACACCTACCAACCACATATATCATTAGAATGGATATGATGCTTTTATTACTCCCTACCTTGATTGATAATACCTATCAAAATATAAGTGAAAGCAATAAAATGTCACAATCCAAATACAACAAACCATAGTTAGGGCCTGTGTTTAGATTGTGAGCTGCAACATTGTTTATGATATTAGCTGGGTTTGCTGAGAAGTCTGCATGATCTATTAGATTTGAGCCAATCTGAGCTATATTGCTAAGGGTACTGACTGGCCAGCATCACTTCTTCATTTAGAGCAGAAGGAATGGGTGGACAGATGGGCAAGTCAGAACCTGGAGGATCTATACAGATTTATCAGAAATAGAATATTACGATTTGGAGCAAGCATGAACCAGTCAAGATAGGAGAAGAGTTATCAACAGCTCCTTGCACAGGACCTTCAACCTGATCAACTGTGAGATTAGAATTGAGGAAGGTCAACATCAATGTTAGTGAACAGATGTAGGGGTATCTCACAGGCAACAGTCATTTCCAGACCCACTGACACCAGGCCTTCACCCAGAACAGAAGCAATTGGTGGAGAGATAGGCGGGTCAGAACTCAGGAAATCTGTATCAGTATTACCAATGATGAATGATAGAGGGTTGGGGTTAACACAGACCAGTGGAGATAGGTAAACCTTGTTGTGAGCACTCCACCTCTCCTTCCCCGGACTTCAAACAGATCACCTGCGAATTTGATTTGATGAGCAATCAGTGTTCACTTTGGGGCAGGAAGATCCAGATGTAGCTCACTGGAGGCTGGCATGGCTATGTCCTCCGCACCAATGGTGGAAGATGGAGTTATCGAGATGCTACTGCCGTCCGCGGATTCAGGTCGACATTTAGCTGGTAGGACAAGGTCTAGAACTCTAACCTCAAACCACCATAGCGTTTATTACGAGGGTGGTCGGTGCTCGTGACTTGCTTGGGCACTTCCTCGAACTCGCATTTCAAAAGATTTTCACGGGGGATATTAGGATCAGACATGGTGGTTCAGAAGAGAGTATCGATGCTGTGCGGTGCCAAACGTCAGAATGGGTAAAGGACCGTTTCTCAGAGTCAGCTGACGTTCCTGATTAACGTCCCTCCGACTCCCTCGCACAGCGTTCCGAGAAGTGTTTCGGCGTCAAGTCAGCAAGCAGACGCGGTGACCGAGAAGCAAAACCATGAACACCTCCAGAGTGACGGAACTCAAAGGGACGAAAGGAGGATGCGCACAGTCATGTTTCGGTTATGGCTGTGGGAAAAGGCTCTCCCAAAGCTTTCGCAGTGATCGACGACCCCCCAACGCTAAACACACCTACGCCTTGTTCTTTTGATACCTTGCGACCCACCTAAGGGCCCCCCTCCTTTCAAAATTGTTGTTGCCAAGTCAATGCTGTCTTTGTTCGGCATGGGATCCACCCTTGGCTTCAGCTCCGCCGCGAATCCCCTCGTTGAACACGGACTTTCATGACGACTCGTCCAGTTTTCCTCTCTGAGTCGTTCAGCCACTACCGACATCACCTGGAGACCCTTACTCGACTTTCCGTTGCAATCAAACGAAGTTCGACTGCCGCTTTGGTCAACATGCACCGATCTAGTGAGAGTGGGGAACTGTTGAGATTCAAAGGATGCGCGAAGACTCAGTTCATGGGATTCATCGCGTCGGGTGCATCAGCTCCGAGTAAGTTCTTCCTTCCATTAAATATCGTCCCCTTTCTACCTTACCTCGTTTGGCATTTGCCCGTTCTGTGCTACAAACTTCACCCCCCCAATATACTGATAATTCTGTGGCAGCTCTGGTCCCCTTTACTTCGTTTACGAGCGCCACGCTTCAAAGCATACAAGACTGCAAAGCACAGATTCCAAATGACGGGCGTTTTTAAAGATGCCTAGCTCGACGAACCTAATACGCTCTCGAAAAACTCTACACACCCTCCAGGTCACTGCTGTCCATCAGATCATAAGCGCACGCTTCAGTCGGAGAGCTGGGGAGTAGGGATAACGGCCATCTCTCCTTTGGTAAGTTATCGCCCTTGCCTTACTTATTCATCCATACCCTTCTCCCTTCCTCGACCTCTGAATTCCTTATCACCTCGCATACATTCGATCTTTTCCCTCGCTGACTGCCCACATCCGTTACTCAGGTCCTTGTTCTATAAAACCAACGCAAGGCCCACTTTGATTGTACCGTCATTCCTAGGTCCACCATGGCCCGCACGAC